AGCGAATATAAATTTGTGTTACATCTACACATACTAAAAGTATAAATAGCTACGGGAATAATCGTCTAAAGATAACTAATACCAAAGAAACAAATTAAAAGTAAACAAATGGATGTCCTATTCACAACCCTTTTGTGGATCGGGCTTTGGATCTAGTTCTCTTGATCTGAAATGGTTAATGAAAGAGTGAGCTACATTAGCCCAGTAAGAATATCACGCTACTCACTGATACATAAATGAAGGTTGGTAGAAATAATAAAAATAACTAATGGGGCTCTTAATTTAAGTAAATTCGTTTATCATAAATAAAATCATTTACCGCATACTTACCGTATCGGGATTTCCAAAAATAACCTATAAATTCAGTAACATAACATATATCATAATTTCATATGCAATCAGTCGGAACAACAACTTCTCATTTTTTCAGCCTACTAATATCCATGGGGCCCGTATGGATGACTCCACTACGCGTGAATCCTTTTTTAACATTTTCAATTAATGGGTCGTTCCCATACCCCGTCCGGTATGAGCGCCAAAAGATACTATCCCTCAATACCCCGTCCGATATGAGGGTGAAACGGGCCGTCCACATACTTCATCCGGTATGAGCACCAAATTACCAAATTTCGATACCCCATTCGGTATGAGGCAAAGTTTACGGTAGGGTTCCATATGTACCCGGTCCGTCCACCATCTCTTAGAATATCCAGTAAGGCTGCTGTTCATCCATCCATTTAATCAAATAATTTTTCATTTACCTTTAATTTTCAGTTTCCCAATTCAATTGTAATCACATAAAACAGGAAAAACATACATTAAAGGAATACAATTGCATTATCATATCAATTCTAGTGTATTATCATGCATTTGAAAATTGTAAAGTTAGGCAATCAGTTAACCACAGCAAACAATAGTAAATAACTGGTTCCGTCTCCATTAGTAATCTGTAATTAATTATGAATATTTTTTTAAGTTTCACAAAATACCACATTATTTAAAATTAAACTTAAATTCAATAACATGGAATGAGGTGATAGATTCTTACTCAAACTGATGTCCAAAATGCTAACTTTTGACTGCACCTACTGGCGGTCCTCGGGTTTCTTGAATTTTTCTTTAGAGATTAAAACGCGCTTCAAGTACCTAGAAATATTCCAAAAAAATCCAAAATTAGTGTTAGAAACCTTTTTTGGCCAATTCTAGAATTTCAGCTGCCGTGCTCCAGCGGCAGCATCGCCGTCCGCGATGGCAATTTGTCTTGGGTCGGCTGTTTTCAACTGTTTTCGATCGAATTTGGCCGGTTTTGTACCAATTCCTTCGATAAAACACGTTAAGGAGCCTCGGTTAGCCAAAAAAGTCGAAAAAATCGAAACTTACCAACGACAATGTTCTTCAATGCGACGGCTTCGCCAGCTCACCTTCGCGATTGGGTGTTTTATTTTGGTCAACATGTAGAGAATGAAATAGTGATTACGATAGTGAAAAAATTACGCATAACGGGAATCGATAAGGTATCATCGGAGGCGATTTTTGCATTTTTCCGCCGCGGTGCCCCCAGGCTTTACCCGCGATTTTCGGCCAATTCGCCAATCCTTTATCTCCGATTTGGTCATAGAGATGTTAAAATGATTTTGAGTAAAGGAGATTTTTTACTCTTTGGNNTTATCTGAGTTGTCTATCGCGATCTGATCTGGATTGTCCGATCGCGTTTAAATAGGAAGTGGATTTGGACCGTTCATCGCGTTTACATCTGATCGTTTGATCGCGTCTGGGGAGGGAATAGATTCGGATCGTCCGTGCGCGCGGGAACGAATCTTGATCGTTCGATCACGAGCACGCGAATCGCCAGCATGGCCTCCCGTGTGGCACCACGTTAGCATCTCTTGCCACGCGGCGCGCTTCGGTTCGTCGGGACTACTGACTACGCGTCCTATGCGGCACAATTTTTTTAAATTACATTTTGACCTCCAGTTTCTGATTTTTCTTTCAAAAATATCCCCAGAACTCAAATTTTCACATTTTTTTTCAAAATTATTTTTAATTTCATCATCCATTTAATTTTTTTCATTTTTACATTAAATAAGAATTTAAAAAAATTAAGAAATTATATTTATTCATTAATTTTAATTACAAAAATTAATTAGTGTATTACAAAAAAGAACTATAAATAAAAGTTAAAATATAAAAATGAAAATAATTATTTTATGTTACTATTTATGGAAAGAAATTGACTTGACAGCGCGTCAAACGTTAGTCTTACCCGAAATCTGCAATTAATTTCAATTCAACTATGACCCGACCCAGTCAATTGTTGGTGAAAAACCATAATCCACTTCATAAAAACCTAATTTTATTTTCAAAATATCATTGAAATTATTTTGGCTTTTAATTTAAACAGATTTAAAATCTACCGACCTTATATATTTTAGTTATTTAATTCCATACATATAATGTATAAGTAAATTATTTTTATATATTTAAACTGGCTAATACAGTTTATTTGCAATGTATTTACATTTAGTAATTATTATTATTGCTATAGAATCATGTTTGCTGTCAAAGTTAATCAAGATTAAAGTGTTGGATTGTTAATAATTTTGCAGGATTTTCTCAGTGTTTTCTTTCTTTTTTTTTTCAGAAAAAATATTTGTCTATAAATGTTGTTAAATTATGTTTAAACAAAAATCTCTTAGTGTAGGATTCCTTAATAATCGATATTAATTTGACTAATCCAATTAATTATTTATTCTTAATTAATTAATATTTTAGTTGAATAATTCATATATCATTTATTTATAAAAAATTTATGTCTGAATATATATTTTTATTATAATATAATTGATATTTATGTATAATTGATTAATATATAATTTTGTATTAAAAAATATGTTCATCTTTTAATTCAATCAAACACTAATTCCTTTTTCACACTTTTCATGACCATAACTCCTTTCAACTTTCTTTTTTTAATATTGAAAATTGAATTTTATAGGGTTCTCAAGTTTTATATATATATATATATATATATATGTACATTTTTCTATAAAAAAAAAATGATGAATTTAGAATTATTTGCATCCTCATCATTATAAACGTCATTGATGTTGTCCTGTTATAAAAGCAGACAACAAAACCCTTAAATGTGAATAGGGAAAGTTTTCTTTTTTTTTTTTGCATGTTCTTCTTCTATCACCCCTTATTGCCAATTGATTTGCACGCTACAATCAGATTTATTTCTTAAAAAAAAAATAATAACTCAAATAACCAAAATAAGAACTCACTAATGGAGATCTACATCCCATGCTCAATAAAGTAATAAATACAATGGCTTATCAACACTAGTTTTGCTCCAAGTATGGCAGTATTAACCAAAATTTTCATCAGTAACAGATGCTATTTCTTCTCCATGGTTACATGCTACACATTCATGAAATATAGCTAAACTACATATATAAAAAAAAAATGAACCCTATGGGAGAACTGCAATCAACACCCTCTTGAATCAAAATATGCCAGGTAATTACCTAATGCCTTCTGGTTCAGCAGCTTCTGGAGGCTAACATGGAAGTTACATAAAATCAACTATGTTTTCTGAACATATCCTAAGCTCCTTCTGTTACTTCGACAAGTCTCCCACGAACCCATTTCCTCGTTATTGTCAATGGCCTCTCTCCTTCCATCAGTTGAAGTTTGGCACCATTTGGAAGAGGATCGTTCACACATTTGGTATTTCCATTTGTTTCCAATTGACGAACCTTGGCTCCATTAAGTAGAGGACTCTTTTCGGGGTTAATATTTCCATATGGTTCCAATTGACCAAGTTTCTTTGCAGAAGCAGACTGCACTATCATATCATCTAAGTTAAATGTCGATAAACCATAACTAGAGCCTCGAGGAGAAAGTTCCTTCTCACCGTTCACCATACCCTGCAAGGTTAAATTAGTAAAATCCAAACCCTCGATTTCATTTAGTGAAAGGATTTGGCTCCCGTTCACCTCTCTATGGTCTCCCTCGTCGGAATCTCTTTTATCTACTCCTGTTTCTTTCTGAACCTGGCTAACCAGATCAGCTGAGGCTGTGGAAGGGTATTCTCCATTCACATAGGATGTGATCTGCCCATTTTCTATTGACTCTATTGATTGGATTGCCTCATCTATAAGCTTTCTGGTTTCCATGAGGGATGTCTGAGCAATAGGACTCTTCATTGCAGCAAGTTCAAGAGACTTTGCAGCTTTCTGGGCTTCAGTAATTAACAGCCTGCAGAATGTCATGCAATAGAATGAGCTCATCAGAGAATGAATATCCTCACCAATTAGGGGAAATAAATTGCAATCAATCGGAAGAATTTCCTTTTTAGGCAAACAGCCTATAATAAATGGCTGAAGAAGACCAAGTTCATTCTTCTTCAAGTGAACAGCATGTTTAATCTGATTAATAATCAATTTAAGAGCCCAATGTTAACTTTCTCTTCATATTCTATGTAGTGTTTGTTGAATATAAGCAGAAATATTTTACCTTGCTCGTTCAATGGCTTCAAGTTTCTTGGTTTCTGCAGCTGTTCTTTCTGATCTGATGTTCTTTATCATCTCTAATTTCGAATTTGCCAAAGGATCCTTATATGAGGGTCCATTGCGTCTCCGCCTCAAATGCTGAATTTGCCTTTTACTTTCAACCCTGGAAGAACTTCTAACATCACTAGTATTTTTCTTTTTGCTGTTGTTCCTTGTGGATTCTGTAGCTTCACTTGGCCTTCTCCGTGGCTTTCTTTCAGCTCCAGCAGGTGTTCCATGATATTTTGCCAAACCAGCACAAACTCTGTTACGGTATGCCTATTGGGAGAAGAATGAAAAAGAAATTATGTCAACACACGGTAAACCTATGTTCACTTCACAACCCAGCCAAGAAGTTTTATTGGTATTTGGTACCAGTATATAAAAACGAAACAGGTTGATTTTAAACAAACTATGGCCAAACAAGAAGGCATTCGAAACGGTCTATTTACACCAAAAACAAAACTAAGAAGCTAGGTGCAAATATGCTATTACTGCATCATTTTTTCCAGGTCATACAGCATCAAGAAACCAAGTACAGATTTATTTTCAGGTTTGCAAAACAATTCACGAATTAAACATGACTATCACAATTAAGTTCAACTTGGGGTTTTGGCTTGGGACAGCATCTCCAGCAAATGTTTAATCAGCCCACTGCCTGCAAAGCAGGTTAGGAATTTAACATGGTGGTTGTGTACCGACTCTACTCAGGCTCTACATAGCCACCTATCCAATCACTTTATTAATGGACTCACTCCATCCCTTTCAGGTCCCTCCAGCTAGTACCAAGTTAGACAATTTATAAAGTCCAGATTAGAGAAGTAGTAAAGTTTGCTAAATGCAGAAAATATAATTCGTGGGAGCACTTGACAAATTAATTCAAACACTTACTGGGTCAGCCCATTTGGCAGCAATTGCCTCGGCAATTTTCCTTCTTTGCTCAGCAGACTTTGGTGCTCTCTTGCTACCTTTTGGTCTAGGCATAGCTTTTCTTTGTTCGACGCTTTCCAACCACTCCTGCTTTAGTTGTTCATCCAAGATCTCATAAGAATCCCATTGTAGCTCTTCTTCCCCAATATAACCTCTTCTAGCAGCCGCTGCAATCAAGTTCTGCCACTCAAAGCAACAAGTTTCCTGCACCATTAGCTTCTCCTTACGTTTCTCCCACCCCATCCGTACTCCCTTTCCAATTTTCGCTCTTGTCTCCTCACTAAAAAATAATTAAGAAAGTGAAATAATAAGAAGAATAACAAAATAAAGAAAAAAAAATTGGCTGAATGGCAGCTAAAGAATTGAATTTGTAAATCTCAAAGATTTTAATTTAAAATTAGTTACTTCAAATAATAAGTTCTGCCAACAAAAGCAAGACAACTGTAATTGTAAAACCAAACCCAACAAGGGTACAGTACCAACCTCTGAGCATGTCCAAGGTTGACCAACTTCATCTTGACCTGCATCACCGGGTGCTATTTAGAGAATTAAACATATTGATGCAATTTAGTTTTCTCTATATTTGTATATACTTACACAATATGCATGCCTGCTCACATGCACACTTGGAAGAAGCATTTCACCTTCTCCCTTAGATAGTCTTTATGTCAATATTACCCCCTAAAATACTCTATTTCCCTGATTTGCTTGAGAGAAAGTGCATATAAATGCGTCTGGATGGGAAGGGCTTGAAACAAAATTTATCCTTTTCATTCTCAAATTTTTAAATGGTGAAAAAAGCATAATTCAGTTTTATATCTCTAATAAAGATATCCTGAACAGAACTAACATTGCAGTAAAGACAAGGAAAGGTAAATGCTAGATACCAAGTCTTGTTCCAACCACTTATCAATGTCATACTGAATTCATCGTGCAAATAAAAAAATTGACTCTCGCATAAAGATACAAAACTATGGGAATTTGCACCTATTGGCACAGACTTAGGTGTCGTACAGAACAATAACAAAATACAGAAGGCATATGGATTGGGGAAAAAACTGCAATTCAGAGAATTGAGGGTCTAAAAAATTTATAGTAGCTGATTTGTTTTAGGTTTTCTTGCTTGCTAAATAAAACTTATAAATAAAGTAGGAAAATCAACACGATTCAGTGAATGTCAAAAAAAAAAAAAGAAGTGCACTCCTTGTCAATTTATTGGACCAACTCTAAGCATTGGAGGGTCACTCCAAGGAAATTTGTAAATTATTCTTACATGACATCACCTTAGGATTCTGCATTGCAAGCTTTGTTCTCTCTCTTATCCGCTGAAGTGTCTCTGCTCATGAACCAAAGTTTGTGGCAATGTTAAAACATGCTTGCCAATCAAAATTGGAACAGCCAAAAACATGTATAGAATATTTGGTTACCGGGACTGTGCTTCTTGCCCTTATTCCAAGGCGTATTCCCTTTATTTGCTTTAGAAATTCTCATCCTTCTTAACCGTTCTTTCTCATCCACTTCCCCCGAGTTCTCACCAGAAATCTCATGCTGATCTTCTGAGGGACTTGAACTGACACCAACCTGCATATTAGGTTTCTCATCTTCCTGCTGAACTGAACACCTGGGTTCAAGTGTGGCAACAGCAGCAACAAGGAGTTTACCTCTTCGAATATGAGGATACCCCACAGAAATGTTAACATATTTAGGTAATTGCGACGACTTCCATGGATTTGGTAAAGCTTTACAATGAATAAGGGATTGAGCCCTCAGTTGAACTATATTTTGCAAGGAAGGCTGAAAGGTAGCAATATCTGGCCCAGAAAAAAGAAAAAAAAAACACTATAAGACCTCTATAAGCTATTAGAAAAATTCGGCATCAATTTAGATAAGAAATTATGAAATCCAGGGGAAAACCATAAGCAGAAACATAAACCCAACTAGCCTACCTACTTAAAAGCAACTGGAACTGAAAATAAGGAACAAAAGCCACAAACGAATCATGAGATTAGGCTTTGTTGATATAACTTGATTTTGGAAATATTTTATGTATATCAAGGGGAATATTTTGTGTATATCCTGAAACATATTACGTGCACATCATGGAGAATATACAGGAGGAAAACCCTAATACTTTGTCTATATAAAGATTTATACCGCTATAGTGATGTACTCTCATTTTATAATAGTGGAAAGTTTGTTCTGGTTTTACCCTTTAACCTATACATACTTGCCAAACCATGTCAATACTCTTTATTTTGTGTGATTTTGTGCATATTGGAAATTTATTTGTCATCAGGCTCAAATTTGCAGCGGAAACAGAAGGGCAATTTCCATGTCAAAAGACATGTCTAGTTTAGCAAACCCAGAAAAGCAAACCCACAGAGAAATACAACTGACAACCAGGCAAAAAATTAAGCATTAACATTTTCTTGCAAAACCCATGAAGCTTTAAGCTTAGAAACACCAAATGAACCCCGAGAAAAATCTCGAGCAGCATATAGTTTCAAAATCCAAGCTTCAAAAGAAAACTAAAGTGGGTGTGGCGAAAGAAAGAGAAGGGCAATAAGGGTACCTAGCAAAGGCATGGGAGCTCATTCAGTCCAAGAAGAACTCCAACCCAGGAACCGATTCTTTTCCCTTTATCTTCTTGTAACCATCAGCACAAAAAAGGATGCAAGTCAAGCATGAAAATTGTGGAGAGACGCCTGTCCCCCTAACACCTCCAGTGGTGATAACTGAAATCTGAATGCAGAGTAAAAACCGAAGGCGTTGAAGGGAGAGGAGGAAGCAGAGAGAGAACCAGCCACACAGAAAGGAGGGAAGTGGATGGTTTTGTTTGCTGATATCTACAGAGGAGATGGATAGTGAAAGAAAAGCCCATCTCAAATTCTATCTTCCTGTTCCCTCCTTTGTGATCCACGAGATCTTCACCCGAGTGTCTTCGTGGGCTGGGTTTTCTTGGAAACACTCATCCCCTCATGGCATGCTTGCACTCTCAATCCCAACGGCTCTAAATTTTATCTTCATTAATCATTGTATTCTATTTAAAAATTATGTTATTAATTTAAACTTTAACCGAACTAAGTTTGGTGGATACCCTCGTGCAATCTCAATCAAAATGGTTCTAAATTCTAACTATTCTATTTAAAAATCAAGTGTTTAATTTTATCCACTAATCAAACCGGTTCTCAAATTCTATATATTAATTTTTATATTTCATTTAAAAATTATGTATTCAATTCAAATTTTAAAATAATGTCTATGTAAACTGAATTTCATAAATACCCTCATACTTCGTGAATTTTATGAATACCCTTACGTGCTCTCAATCAAAATGATTCTAAATTCTATCTAGTAAGCTTTTATATTATATTAAAAATTTACATATTTAAAAATTACAAGTTCAATTCAATTTAGATTTTAACTGAATGTCCTCATAAATTAAATTTTATAAATACCCTCGTGCTTGATAGGTTAAATTCCATGAATACTCTCATACGCTTGGTCTTAATTCACTTTCATGCATAATAGTTATAAATTTTAATATTTTTTTATTCTGCTTTAAAATTAAATTTTTATAGTATATTTAACTACATAGAACCTAAAATTTAACTCATCATGTTATCAAATCCAATATAATTTTTTATTTATTAGAACATCTTATATGAATTCAAAATTAAAAAATTATTATCTCTTTTTAATTTCTGTTCAATTCATTACTTGTATACATTTGAAACGAATAACAAATTAATGATCATCATGTTTTGATGAGTTATAGGAGGATGTGTCATGAGTGTGAGATTGGTCACGAACTTTCTCCTTCACTTGTTTCCGCTTCTCTCATTTCCCTTTCTTGATCTCTCATCAACTATATGTGTAATGGCTCGGAATTCAAAGGAAATAAATTTATATTTTAAATACATAAGTAAATAATAATGTTAGGGTTTACATTTATTACACAGTAATTTGAAATGTCCAATATGGGTACGAGAATGTCCTTTCTACATTGAATCATAAAAAAACAAACGATAATTAAAACAATTAAATAGATATCCTAGATGTTAACCTTCACTAGCAATTGAAGGGATTTCGAAAGGTGAACTACTTACAACTCTCTTATTGATCGGAATCTCAATATTGGTCTTCTTGATCTGAAATGGTTAATAAAATGGTGAGCTACACTAACCTAGTAAGAATATCACACTAATCGCTAATACGAAAAACTAAAAGTTAGTAAAAATCATAAAACAACTAATAGAGTCTTTGATTTAAGTAAATACATTTAATTCTAAAACGTTTTATTCCATACTTACTGTTACGAATTTTTCAAAAAACAACCTATGAAGACAAATAACCAAGTGACACTTTTAATTTCGTGTATAAGATCAGTAATTCTTTTTTTTAACCTATTTACTGGGACCCTAGGGGGTTCATAGGGATATCCTTCTACTGTGGACCTAATATCAAGATTTAACAATCAACTCTACCGTTTTCATACTCCGTTCGGTAATGGGTGCCAAAAATACCATCATCTCGATACCCCATCCGGTATGAGAGTAAACCATATCTCTCAAAATGCTTCTAGTATGGGACTTCTCAGTCCCGTTCGACTGAGGTAATGTCTGTGGTAGGATTTTCTATGTACCGGGTTCGTCCACCCTATCCCATGATACCTAATAAGCTTTTATTTATATAGATTATCATCATCCAAATAACCACCAATGCATACCAACGTCTCATTTCATATTCACATAGCCAAATAACCAAATAACTAGAATACCGAAAAATGGAGGAGGAACCAAATAACCAAATAATCAAGAAGACTATAAAAATTATCAATTTAAATACGCATAATATAATAGTAAATAATTTAGGTAGTACAGGGAAATAAATAAGAAATTAAGACAAATATGAACTAACCAGTTCCGGCTCCACTAGTGACTTGTAATTATTTTTAGAATATTTGTTATCCATCATTAAGTCTCAATTTGTCGTAACAGAGAATAGAATGAGGGATCCTTACTCGGATCGGTGTTTCGAAATGTCATACTATCTACTACGCCTCCTAACGGGTCATAAATTTTCTGAATTTTTTTTACGAGAAGTAAAATATTCATCACGTACCTAAAAATACCCTAAAAACCTAAAATCAGTACTGAAAATCCTTTCCGGCCAATTTTAGAGTTCTGGCACGATGGCACTGTTGTTCTCCAGCGCCGGCTCCGCTACCCATAGCTGTGGTTCACCTTAGCCTGGTCAATTTTGGCCAGTTTTAGCTGATTTTACACATATCCCTATAAAAAAACACATTAGGGGGCCTCAATTGGCCAGAAAAATGAAAAAAACTGAACCTACCAGTGAGGGGGTCTCCAAGTACGGTAACTCCACCGATTTTTCTTCATGGCTGGGGTTTCTTCTTCGACTAACCTCCACAAAAAGATAGTGAACACAATTGTCAAAAAATTGTGTGAAACAGGAAATGAGAAGAGGCTCATCGGAGGAGTTTTAGGATTTTTATCGCGGCAGTTCCACTGAGCTTTGCCCGCAAATTTCAGTTCACATATCGTCCCTTTTACTCCGATATGGCCACAGGGAGATTTGGAATAGAATTTCGAGCGATAAAAGGAAAATTTTATATTTTTTAGCGGTTGACGGTAGATCTAGTGCGATGGCGGACGAGAATCGGTCTCCTTCTCCGACAAGAAAATGTGCAGCTAGGGTTAAGGTTCCCTAAGATACGATGTTTAAATACCCATCCTGCGTCAATCTGGGCTGTCAGTTCGTGTCGATTTAGAGCGAGGAGAGTCGTTCGATCGTTGCTTGTTTAAGCCGATTACGTGATCGAATATGGACCGTTCATCGCAATTGATCTTGTCTGTCCGATCGCGTTTAAAAAGAGAATGCATCTGAGCCATCCGTGCACATGGGATGTGATCGGGACCGTCGGATCACCAGACACACAGATCGCATGCGTGGCACCGATGTCAGCATGTTTTATCATGCGGCGTGCTCTGGTTCACTATGTTTGTTGATTGGGCCATTCCACGTGGCTGAATTTTTATTTTTTATGATTTAGCCTCCTATTTTTAAATTTTTTTTCAAAAACACCCATAAGATTTAAAATTTCGCTCCTTTTTTCTAAATTATTTTCAATTTCGTCCATAATTTATTTTTCTAAAAAAATTCAATAAAAATAAATTAAAATAAACTTGAATTAGTTATTTATATAATTCTTTTATAATAAAAAAGAAAATTCTAAGCTAATTTTCGCTCCAGCGTATTACAACTTGGCCCTCTTAGAAAAATTTGATTCCTCAAATTTATCACTATCTCACTTAGTCGAACAACTAGGGGTACTAGGCTCTAAAGTCTTATTCCAGTTTCTAAGTAGCATTTCCTTGTGTATGATTCTACCATAGGACTTTGACGAAAAGAATTTCTCGATTGTGAAATACTCTACTCTTCTAGTTTATAATGCATATCAGTACCTCCTCATATGATAGATCCTCTTTGAGTGAAAGGGGCTCATGGACAAGATGTATGAGGGATCCGGGTTATACTTGCATAACATAAATATGTGAAACACATTATGAACTTTGGACAGCTCTAGAGGTAGTGACAGTTTATAGGCGGACGTATCAATCAAATGACCCAATGAACCAGAGATTTAATTTTTTGTCTCTTGTCAAATCTACTAATTCTCTTGAAATGAGTGACCTTAAAAAGCACCCAATCACCTTTCTCAAATTCTAAATTCCTCCTCTGGGTGTCCGTATAACTCTTCTGTTTGCTCTGAGCTGTCTGAATGTTCTTCATGATCTTAACTATCTTGGCAGTAGTCTCCTTCACAAGGTCTAGACCAAATACTTTTCTATCACTCATCTCTTTTCAACAAATCATGACCTACAGGATCATCCATATAATGCCTCATACGGGGCCATGCCCATGCTTGCTTGATAGTTGTTATTGTAGACAAACTTTATCAAAAGTAAGTAATCATCCCAATGTCCTTTAAAGTCTAGAACACAAGTTCGGAGTATATCCTCCAATGTGTGAATTGTCCTCTCTGATTATCCATCAGTTTGAAGATATAATGCGATACTAAGAAATAGTTTCGTCCCCGTAGCTTGTTAAAAACTAGACCAAAATCAAGAAGTGAACTTGTGATCTCTGTCGGATACCACTGTCACTGAAACTCTATATAACGTAACTATCTACCAAATATATATTCTTACTAGTTTATCCAAGGGGTCGATCATCTTAATAGCCAAGAAGTGAGAAGACTTGGTGAGTCGGTCGATAATTACCAAAATAGTATTATGTTCTGAACGTGCCTTAGGCAACCCTGTCACGAAGTCCATTGTGATATATCTAAACTTTCACTCTGGGATCGGTAATGACTGAAGTAACCCACCTGAGCATCAATGCTCTACCTTAACATGTTGACATACCAGGCACTTGGAGACAAAGTCGGCTATTTCTATTTTCATCCCGCTCCATCAAAACTAGGGTCGCATACTTTGATACATTTTAGTATTTTCAGGATGTATGACGAACTTTGAGCTATGAGTCTATGTTATGATGTCCTTTTTCAGTTTACCTTCATATGAAACGCACACCCTGTCCTGAAGTCTGAACAACTCATCAACAGAGACTCAAAAATTTGGATTTACTTCTTGTTCTGCATCCTTCCTGAGAGCTGTTAGGATGGAATCAGTTGATTGAATTTCTTTTATTCTCTGGATTAATTCAGGTTGGACAGTTAGGTGGGTTAAGCATATAACTCTTTTCAAGTTTTGAAGTCGTATATGTTGCACAACTCTTATTATTCTACATT